AAAGTACATCCAAACACAACATATATAACTTCATCATAACTCATTATTTAAAATATTTGCAATATATAGATGTATATATAATTTATCAATCATTCATCATTTTCACATTTCAGTTCTCATTTCACATATATATGTCAATCTCATAATATCACATCAATATTTCATACCAATCATATAATTATTTCCACATCCATAACCATAACTCATGCCGATCTCACCATTAATAATATCATTTCCATGTCCATCATTCACAATTAACACTATGCCAAGACCTCGCCACATCTGACACAAGTGATACGGGTTAATTGCCTCACTCAACCCACACCAGACCAGGGTCACGCCCTCCCTGTAGCATCACTTACCCAGGGGCCGTGCCGTCCCTAGTCATTAGGTGTGAGGAATCACAATCACATTACAATCAATACAATCTCTTGCAATTAACCCCATGCCAGGGCTGCCATAAGCGACATAAGTGGTGGTGTTAACTGTCTTATTCATCCCACACCAGGCTAGGATCACGCCTTCCCTGTAGCACCACTTTCCCAGGGGCCGTGCCATCCCTAGTCACTGATATGAGGCATCATAACCACAATCATAATCACATCCATATAACATCTCATCTCATAATTCAAGTTCACATCATATACACAATTCCACCTCACATACACCCAGATAATCTAACAAAATAAGGTTTACACATCACTCAAGCAGTTCACATCAAGATCATCCATTCTTAACAATAGCAATAACAATCTTAAATTAATATAATAGTCAATGGAATAATCAATTTAATACAGATAGTAAAACCCCTAATTATTCCAATATCTAGCTCACAGCATTTTCCTACAATTTTGTTCTTTCTCCCAGATCATCATCATTCCTACAATTTAGCATATTCATAAACCTCAACACATATAATTTTAATGAAACTAATAATTTTCCAAATAATAATTATAATCTTAAGGAGTTCTTCCTCTACCCAATTCCCTCATGTACTCTACATATAAATAATCCCCTTTTCCCCCGTACCTGGTTAACTAGAAATTAGGCTAGAACCTCCTCTTCTTAGATAGGGACCAGAACTGAAAATAGACCAGAGCTTCCTCCTATGGATTCCTCTTGGTCTTCAAAGAGAAGAAGAGGAAATGAGAGAGAGTAGAAGAGAAGAGAGAATGAGAATGAGAAGTGTTTCTTGGGATGGTTTGCAATGGAGAAGTGAAGGTCTATTTATAGTCTCCAAAACACATTAAAAAAATGTAAAATAATGGAGAAAAGATAGACAAAACTAAGTGGAATGAATTAGTGGAATGAATTATAGAAGTTGGTGGGAATTAATGGAGTTGGTGCCATGTTCTTTTCCTCACCGACTTTGGCCACTGATTTGGACCTTATAGACAGCCGAATCTGAAAATATTTTCTTCATGAAAGTTGTAGGATTTTCTCTTATCTTTCCATAGCCACCAAGTTTGTATCATTTGAACAACCACCGACCAAGTTATGCCCCAAACACCGAGGCTTGCCAATCAGTCCAGCGAGAAACAATTGTATCAATTAAATTCCAATTTTTGACCTTCTATACGACCGAATTTGAATATGGCTATTTCTGTAAAAGTTGTACGTTTTTCTCTTAGTTTTCCATTGATACCAATTTTGCATCATTTGGACCATCACAGCTCAAGTTATGCCCCAAACACCGGGACTTGTCAGTCAGCCCAGCGAGAATTGGTTCTTAAAAAAATTCACAACTATCTAATTAGGCCCAACTACACACTTATCTTTTTAAAGCCTACAATTAAACATAAATGGAGTGTAAATACAATTGAAGTAAAAGATAATCACCAAATTATGACCAAATATTGTGTAATAATAATAATAGTAATAACCATTTTGAAAACTGGGATGTTACAACAATAATGTTATTTTTTATCATAGGCAAAAAAAAAACCAAACAAGTATTTATTTAAATTTTTATTTAAGCAAATGAGTAATTTGCTCAAAGTGCATATCTAAGTTTTAAACAAATTATCTAAAATGAAAAATATCAGACACATAGCAATTATTATTTTTATTAATTAATAATTAATTTTTAGCATAATTGAAAGATGAACAAAATAATACTGAAATTTAAGATCGACAAATGTAACTAATAGCTTTATCTCTTTCTTAGAATGCATTAATAATTAATAATTATTTAATAATTAAATATTATATTGTTAAGAGTTAACAATATTGAAAGAATTACGATTCTTATTACTGTACAAAATAAAAGATATTTGATTCACGTTACAATTTTTAATAAATTACTTCAATAAATTATAATATCTAAATCTAATATATTTCATTTTTTCAAAAAATAAATTATTAAAATAAATTAACAGTTAAAGTTATTAATCTTAAAGAAATTGAAATATTGTTTACAATAAATTATAAATAAATAAAAAACTTCACCTTTTTTTTATATAATTTTTACATATTTAAATTATTTTTATATTTAAATAAACATGAGTATTGCATCTTGTTTTTAACTCAATGAAGAAAAAAAAATCATTCTAACTAGCGTTAACTTTCGGAACAAAAGGACTCCTCAAATTCTAGAAATATCCCCTAATTATTAGGCATGTTGAATAAAATAGTTAACTTTAATTGTCGGAAATTACGATTAATGAATGAATAATTGAATAGAATATGCCCACGCGTTGATAATGTTGCGACTTCTTCCAATTTTCAAATCCAACTACCCTCCTTCATTCAACACTTTGGATTTTACTTTTCAATTTTCATACCTTATTCTTTCCAATTTTCCTTCTATAAATATATTTTTTTATTCCACTAAAATTACAATTATAACCACAAAATTTAAATTGTATATCTTATTCTAACTCTTATTATTAAGCCATTCTATGAATATAATATAATAATAATATTAATAATAGTAGGATGTTGTAATATGTTTTATTGATAGATAAATTGCATTTGACATTTACTCTAAGCAATTCTTTTTATAAAAATCAAATTTGAAGTTTGTAATATATTTTTTTAATAAATAAATTTCATGTAACATTTACTTCCTATAATACTTTTACAAGAATAACTTGGGATTTTGGCTTGATTTTTTTTTTATAAAAAAAATTATAATATTTTATACTACTTTATAATACTACTTTTTATAAAATATTTTATAAAAAAAATAAACTCAGTACACTTATTAATTATTACCCTCTCTTATCGTGTGTTATTTTAACTAGTAATAGTATCTCTCGAATTTGTCAAATAATCCCACAAAATCTAGTGCATGAACACAAGTCACCCAAACACTACTAGTGCTATGGTGGATACAGCTTCCTCCTTCATATTTGCAAAAGTAAAAAATGATTATTTTTTTTAAAGGATCGTATTGAATTAAATATAAAAGATAAAACATCAAAATGAACAATTTAAATAAAAGACTAAAATAAATTTAAAAAATAAGATAAATGACCAAAACTATAATTTAGTTTGTAATTAAGAAGGATAAAAATATATTGTCTTATTTCATTAAAAAAATAAAAAATGTTAACAAATACATTAAATTCTAGATACAAAATAAATTTTAATAATATTATTAAAATTGACAGGGTTAAGAAATAATAAAATACAAGAGAGAAAAATAGAGATAAGGGAGGGAGAGAGAAAGAGAAGGGGAAGGGGAGAGGGAGAGGTGGAGTAAGAGTGAGAGAGACAACCAGAGAGTGAGAGATAAAGGGAGAGAAATAGAATGAGAGATTTTTAGAAAAGATGAATCCTAGCTATGTGTATATTTTATGTTTTAAAAAAGATATTATGATCTTTTTACATACATAAAACCTTTTCCTTAACTTGAAAGTTGTATTTCCAATCTCACAAAAATATTTTTGTGAGAAAGTGTGATAAAAATGATTCTCGAGAAATTATATCTCATGATATTTTTTTTAATAATCATTCAACATGAGAAACTAAGATTCTCAATTTAAGATTTATAATAAAGTAAAAAAATTTGCATACCAAACATCCCTTTTGTATTTCCAATCACTAGGGCTTTCATGGTTTAGTTCATTACATTAATTCAATTCGATCCAAAGAGACTTTTGATGGGTTAAAGTTTTTAACAAGTTAGATTTGATGCGTTCTAAAGGCAAGTTTGGTATCCTTTAAGTTCTCCCAACTCAGTCCAACATTATGCATTTAATATTATTTTTTAAAATATTTATGTGTAGACAATATTACTTCTCAACTTTATAAATAATCTTGTGTAACATGATATTATGTTTATACTTATACTTAAAATGAATATACCTTAATAGTAGTTATTTAATTTTTCAATATAACTACATGTAATATTATAATTAATTAGTAGGGTCGAGATACTCTAAATCTCTATATTTATTTAAAAGTATTTAAAAATTATTAATATTTATTGAATCAACTGATATTATGTTTAGTCTTTAAACATTAAGATCTTAGGTTCTAGTCCTAGGTTTAGTTAATTTTTATTATTTAAAAATTTAAGAATAAAATAGTTTAAAAATTTGTAAAATTTTATATTCAAATTTCTATTATTACAATTTTTATAAATAAATGATTGAAAAATAGTATAAAATTATATTAAAAAAACAGTCAAACACGATTTCATGTGTTACTTTATTTAAAACTTTTATGGTATTTTACTTTTACTTTTATTTTTAATCAATAAATATAATTAAGAAATAAAAATATAAAGAAATGGTTAAACAAAAATAAGATATCACTTTTATTGATGAAAACAGTTTCAAGTTCATTAAATTAACCTTTTAAAATTTTTTGGGATAGGGATAAAAAAAAAGGTCCCAATCACCACTGCCACATATGAACCACCTTTTTCACAAGGCTGAAAAAATATTTCAATTAAATTATTTTAAACATTTATTTTAATTAAAAATGTTTTGTTTGGTCAAAAGAAAGAAAGAAAAAAAAAAAGGAGTGAGTGTTGGTTATTAAACTTGTGTTTTTGAAGATTTCATTTGTTACGTTATATCGCATGGACCGGATTGAAAGAGAAGAGAAAGATTGGATGTGGGTGAGTTCATTCGCAGCATGTCGATTGTGCTGAGGAAGGTGTGGGAAATGGTGTCCTGGAGATCGAATACGTCAACGGTAGCATCAACATCATCATCAGAAGTGCCACGTTCTGACATGGGTGAGTTGGAGCTGCTACCCAGTGACATCTTGATGCAAATTCTGAGGCTTTTGGGTCCAAAAGAGGCTGCAAAGTTGAGTGTGGCGTGCAAGGGTTTGAGATCCCTTGTGTCTGATAATAGACTTTGGGTTCACTTCCTTCAGACCCATCAGGCTGAACCCTCTGGGGATTCTGTCTTCTTTGCTGAGACCACCTTGAGCTCTGGCTACCCTCTTCCGTGAGTAATACTAATACTCTTCTGGCTCTTTCATGGACTCAAATTTTGTGTCTTGGTGGTGAATTTGGTGGGTTGGGTTGTGATTGAAGATTGGTGTTTTGATGGGTCATGCTCATGGGTTGGGTGTTGTTGAGTCTTGCTAGTGTGCTGCCAGTGATTGGAATTTTGTGTTTTGGTGGTTGGTGCTGGTGGTTGTTGTTTCTTTTTGGTATGATGGTTGCACGTGATACTGGTATTGTGTGCTTTGTTTGATGGTTGTGCTGCTAGTGGTTCAAATTTTGTGCTTTGATGGGTTGTGCTAGTGATGATTGGTGGTTTTAGCTATGGTTGGTCATGCACGCTTTTGGTGGTGTGCTTTGTTTTATTTCATGGGTTGTGCGAGTGATTGGTATTCTGGGCTTTGGTGGGTGGTGCAAGTGAATTTGGTGGATTTTATTTTCTAGGAATTAATGCATGTGCTCAATTTAACAGGTCTTGCATGTGATCTGTTGTGTGCTCCGTTTGATGGGTTGTGCATGTGATTGATGTTCTATGGACCTTAGAAGTGAAAGTGATTAGTATTTTGTGATTTTTGAGTGTTTTAAATTCCCTGTATTACAGAGCCTTTGTTGGCCATAGGCCCCAGCTATCATTCAAGCATATTTATGGCCAGAGGGCACAAGTTCCGGGTTCTATTATCATCGATGGTTAGTGTAGTAATTTTCTTCTGTGAACTTATATTTTTCTTGCTCATGATGATTTTCTTTTTCAACTTTTATTTTTGTGAATTTTTCTCAAGGTGGTTCTGGCTATTGCAAATTTGGTTGGAGCAAATATGGATGTCCATCAGGGAGATCAGCAACATTTTTGGTAATGGTTTTGATTGGAACTAGCACTAACTGAGGCCATGCTTGGTTAGAATGAAAATAGTTGATGACAAGATTGAAAATTGCTGTATCTAGAGCTTGTACATTGTCAGTTTACCTTATTCTCAATTTGACTTTACGAAGTAGTGACTTAAAATAAAGAAAGCACTTATGAAGATGCTAGGCATTGCTTTTTCTGCTCTTCAGTTTCCACTCACTTGGCTGCATCTTTTTCCTCCTTTTTGATGGGCAGGAATTTGGTAACATTGAGTCACCAATGTATACTAGGCTTCGCCATTTTTTCACAACTATTTATAACAGGTATTCTGTCATTCTGATTCTCCCTTCTTGTTTGGTGAATGGTTACATTTAACTCTTGATAATCTTTTAAGTGAAGATAATCCTTATTGGTCTCTTGCATTGCTCTTTAGCATATCAATGTACATATATAGATGAATTGTACCAGATTAATCATTTTGTTGAAAGGGAACATAGGGAAGTATTTTTAATGGTTACTTAATTATTATCACAAGAGAAATATTCATACTAATCATGAATAAAGGCCTATTTGTTTTGTTAGAAACAGGAGCACATTTGGAAATGAGAGCATTTTCAATGTTGTTCCTCTGCCCAAGTAGCCTAGAAACTTTGTATAGCTAGGTTCAATGCATCTTAGGAAGTAGTGACAACTTTATTGCTCTCTTGTTTAATATAGTTGACGTTGATTATCTTTGTAATACTCATGAATATAAATAGATCATTCAGCTGAGTGGTGATTCTCACTCATGCACATTAAAAAAAGCTTTGTTTCTCATTTTTTTTCCACATGTTTTATGTTGTTGGCAGGATGCAGGTGAAACAAAGTAAACAACCAGTTATTGTTTCTATACCAATATGTCATTATGATGGTTAGTTACATTTTATGATATACTTGAGTGGTGCTAATAAGAAAAGACAAAAGGGGCACATTAAGAACTGTAACACAGTAGTTAAAATATTTTTCTGTTTCAACTGCAGCTGTTGCATTTAATATTTTATTTTTGTCATACATAGTTGTTTTTTTTTTTTTTTTTTTTTTTTTCCTGTATCAGAGAGAAACCACCCTTTGTGACCTGACCTGACACTATTTCATGTGGTGTTCCCTAAAATTTGGAACTATTTTGTTTGGAATGTTCCATTATATTCCTGTCATTCCCTTGGCCAGGGCTGGATAATTGTCCTCCAATCAATGCTCCCAAGCACCCTATCGTCATGTGCAGCTCACCCTATCACGTGCCCTTGCTTGCCACCTTCCCGTGGCTGTTAGGATCCCTTGGGCTGCTGTTGTCTGTGGTTAGGGGTCAAATCTGACATGCTTGCTGGCTCTCTGTTCATCAAGTTTGACATGTTTGGGCTGTTTCTTGGTGTTCTGTGTGGTGGTAATATATGATTATTCATAGTTTTGGATCCCGTATGACTTTTCCAATGCTGGCATAGCATTGAGGAGACGAAAGTTGGAATGTATCTGGCCTTGGTCTTTGTTTCTGAAGCATTGTCTGTTCTAGACGTGTTCTGGCCACAATATTTGTCCTGGACTTGATATTTCCAGTCCTATAATTTCAAATAATAATATTTTCCCTTCCAATATGATTTTCAGTTGCACAATGTTAATCTATTTCCTCATTCTAGATACTGAATCAGCAAAAGCATTGAGACAACAGCTTAAAGAGGCAATTTATGCTTCTTTGTTTGACATGAATGTTCCTGCTGTTTGTGCTGTCAACCAGGTAATACATATTATGCTTCCTTGTATGTTTGACATGAATATTTCTTTATATTGAATATATGCTGAATTAGTTTCTGCTATTGAGTCAGGTAGTAAACTAGGATTTGATGTCATCTTGTATGTGTTTGGTTCTTCTGCGGAAGTTGTGAGAAAGTGAGAGCACCAAAGCACTTGATTAAGTGCAGTGGAATTGTTATTCTCTATCAACATGAGTCTCGACCTTGGAGCAAAGAACCTTGTTTACAACTAGTCAAATCATTATCTATTTAATGTGATTGTGCATGGATTTTTGCCTTATGAGTTATGTGTGCTTCTGTTATTTCTTGTTATTTCCTTGTGTATTTACTATCTTTGTCGTATTGTAAAATATAGGCCACTCTAGCTCTGTACGCTGCAAAACGAACTTCTGGAATAGTTGTTAATATAGGTTTTCAAGTCACATCTGTAGTTCCAAGTATGCCCTCTATTTCTTTTTCTCTTGCTTTTCTGTCTTGTCATGTGTCTTCATATAATTCTTGCATAAATTTTCTGAAATGTTGAATTGTAAATGGAGTTCACTTGAAGTTAATAATGTTTAAACGTCACCACTGTGTTTTGATAAATAGCTGCCTTTTGTATGTCAGAAGCAGATGACTATTTTTTCTTTTTCTTCTGTTGTGATTGTGACTTGCATTATCTTTTCACAGTTTTAAATGGTAGAGTAATGCGCAAGGTGGGTGTGGAAGTCATTGGGCTGGGAGCACTGAAACTTACTGGATATCTTAGGGAGAAGATGCAACTGAATAACTTAAGCTTTCAATCTTTGTACACTGTTCGCACATTGAAAGAGGTATTGATATTCATCTTTTTGGTCTTAAATATTTACAGTGAGGAGATTTACTCTATGATGTCAATCAGGTATTTTGTGATACCAATTACCATGGTGCATCTAAGAGAACAGTATTGGACCCTCTGTTGCGTATGAAATATAGTATACATATAAATATTGCTGGAATGTCACCTTAATTGCGGTCACCTCTAACCTGCCTTAGCTGCTGCCTCTTTGGAGGCTGCTTTAATTTAAGCCTCACGAATGGTGGTTAGGTCCCAAGCAACTAAAGATATGACTTAAATAGAGCTTAGTAATCTTGGACAGTCCTTCCTTTACAAGTTGATTTTATGGGATTGAGTTAGACCTTAGACCCAAATTCGAAAAATATTTACTTCCATTTCTTCTAGCTTTCTTAAGTTGGACTAGATTTTGGATTTTAAAATAATTGATAACGTTGAAAGCCTAGTTCATTGGATCAATAAAAATATGATTTTATAGTCTTTTCCCTTTCTTTCTCTCCATCTTTCTTCTCCAAAAGTTATCTTATATGTCCTGAATTAGCATGCAAATATTTAATTATTTTACCAGCTTTTAAAAAATAGTTATTACTTATTAAGGAATTACATCATTAGATGGGAGGCTCTAAGAACATGGTCATTGAAGACAGAGCCTGCAATTTCTTTCGTTTAGAGGAGGATTTTTCTATCTAATGATAATGGGAAAGGTTTAGGTTTAACTTTGCCTTATTGGAAAGAAATTGCTTCTTTTGGTTGTTGTTGGCCATTGTTGAAATTAATGATCATCCTCATGAAAGCTTTTCCCTGTATAAACACAATGAAAAGGAGACTGTCTTTTGGGTCTCTAATGGCTTTAATTCTAGCGGCAGATTTTATCAACACAATTTTTTGGCAATGCAATATATTGTGTGAGAAGGACATCAAAGAGCCAAGAAGAGACATTTTAAAAAGTCATGATCTTCTTTGCTTATCCAAGGATCTAGCCTACCAAGATATAAAAATCATTGTCGGACCTCTATGTAAGCTTAAACATATAGTAGAATTGTTTCTTGAGATGGCATGATAGCCTTTATGATCAAATGGTTTGGAATTCAATATGCTGCCTTCATTCTTCATAATTTATTTAGATTTCACTATTTCAGCACCAAGTAAAGTGGATCTGTAATCTTGTTCTTGCTTCAAGCCTAAGGGGCTAGGACTTGTGCATGAGGTTTGCATGTAACCAAGTGGCCTAAAATCAAGAGGTTTGGGGGTTTGAAATGAGTTTTAACAATTTTAGAACCCAAACAATAGTTGCAAAGATATAACTTTTGTGGAAGAGATGAAAATTGTTAGAAAATAATCCCAAATGAGAAAGAACAAAAAAGAAAACACCAAGATTTACGTGGAAAACCCAAATCAGAAAAAAACCACGGGCAGAGAGCTGAATCCAAATATTGAAAAATGGTAAATGAGACAGAGCAATAGAAAATATGTGGTTACATAAACTTTTTTTTTTTCTCCTGCAAAACCCCCTAAAATACACTATATATGAATATACAAATAACCCTAGCCCATGAG